TACTCTGGACTGGTGCACATTGCCGGGACTGGAAGTTGGACCTCTAGCCCTGAAGAGCAGCAGGCCCTAGAGGAGACTGCAGATGACATAGTTGGTATCTGGAATTCTCGCGGTTGATCATTGAGCTTGAGGAAATGATACACGCATTATCACTTGGGTGTTTGGGGCATTGTCGGTTACAAGGAAAGGGAGTTTGTGTTTAGGATTAGATATGTTGAATTGGGCAACTAGAACGGCTTTGAGGTGAATTATTTTCGTTATTAAGAATAAGATGATCATTTGAGACTATGATTTCCCCATTGCCATTATGCTTAGAGACACAATCATGGGCTCTAGTAGAAGAAACAGGCAAATGCTAGTGCAGCAACTTAACAAGTGTGTCTCACTGTCGCTTGGTAAAGCTCAATTGGCATTCATCCTTGAAGAGAAAGTTAGCATCTGCGAAGTTGGACGTTTAGACGTGGCCGGACTCTTACCATTGGGAACAGGGTAGCAAACACCCTAATCTCCTCCGACTTCTCCGTGGCATGGTGCTTCCAATCAATCTCCAACGCCGCCTTGCCAATCATGGCAGCCATCGTCAATGGCACATACCTCCTCGCAAGGCAATCATGTGGTCCAGCACCGAAAACCAGCCAATTCTTCGTCTTGGACTCGGCATCTCCGGTGATCCACCTGTCGGGGTCGAAAAACTCGGGGTTGGGGTAGACGTTGGGGTCGTGCAAAGCCGGGTAACACGACGGAATGATCATGGATCCCTTGGGTACGGTGTACTTTGGCGTAACGGGGAAGTTCTTGGTCGCAAGATAGGGAACGAAGATGACGGGAGGTCGGAGGCGGAGGAGCTCCTTGATGACGGCGTTGGTGAAGGTGAGCGATTCCAGCATGGGTAGATCAAAGGGCTTGGTGCCGTCGCCACCCCTTGCGGCAAGGTTCTCTTCGCGAAGTCGCTCAACAGCGTCCGGTCTTTGCGCGAGGACTTGGAACAGCCAGGTCGTGGCACTACTTGACGCATCCTGTGATGCGAAGAGAAAGGTGAAGAGCGTCTCTGAGATTTCCTCCTTGGTGAATTCCCTGATCATGTTTGAAGGTCTCACGGCATCGGTATCGCCTGCAGCAACCTTCTCGCGATACTTGTTGGACTCCATCATGTGCAGCACCCAATGGTCGACGATGGATGTCGGTGTCGCGCCTTTAGCCATGTTGGCTTTACACGCGGCCGCGCACTTTGCAAACTCGGCGTGAACCTGGTCAGCTACGCGCTTGCCGAGCCAGACTTTTGTTCCAGGGATGTACATCGAGAGGGGGACGTTGACGAGTTCGAGAGCTGCGGTGACGAGGTAGAAGTCGTCGGCAATCTTCTTCACAGCATCTTGGGAGATGTAGTCACCGAAGAAGGTACGGCAAGAGAGCGCGCAGTTGATTTCGCGGAACAGAGCCATGTAAGCCATGGGGTTTCCATTGTTCGCCTCGCTGGCGGCTACGAACTTGTCGAAGTACTCGCCCAGCACCTTCTCGTGAACCGGAAGGTATGTTGCCATTGCCTTGTTGGTGAACAGAGGCATCAGACCTCTTCGGTACTCGGCATGTTCTCTGCCTTGGAGGAAGACCCAGGCTTTGTGGCCTAGAATGTCTTTGGCAATTGGGACGATGCAGGGCTCGGCGTAGGCTGGGGACTTGAAGACCTTGTGGGCGATGTCGCGATCAGAAGCAAGAACAACGAACCTGTGGCATCAATGATTAGGGCATGCACCGAAGTAGCCTTGAGAACTTGCTCCTTTGACTTTGCTAGAGCACCTACTTATGGAAGACTGATACGCAGCTGAGAGGGCCGCTTGCCCATTGAGCAAGATACTCCTCAAATTTGGGGTGCAGAGCCTGGATGAAAGGTCCCATGAGGGGGATCTTGAACGCAGGTCCAGCAATTGAGCCTTTCCTCTTGAGATACATCACTATCAACATGTCAGTCTCATTACTAATATCATGGAGGAGCCCAAGGTTTGTTCGTACCCTGATCGTACACGACGACGCCGAGAAGGAAGGTGACGATATACTGCCATGTTGACCAGCCCGTAAAGAAAGCCGGCAGCGTGCTAGACGGCAGTATAGTTTCGTTAGACCATGCTTGCCTTACTTCAGGCTGTACTATAGGCGCGTCGACAATTGCTGAAGCCATGTTGAAGTCTAGAACGGCGTTGCTAGACCATCTTTCCCGCCACGAGAGCATCCAAGGGACATCTCGGTATCTCTTTAAAGGAGGCCAGCAGGCCCATCAAAACGTCAAAGGGGTCTTTGACTTGCGTATTCGTATCCTTTCAACACCACCAAAGACGGTCTCATTTCAACTGGTCTCCGTCTGGTTGGACCACATGCAGAACATCGTTCGTTTCTCTTCCCAAACCGCGGGAGAAGCCAGCCCTGTGAAGTCTTGGCATCTCAATGACTTGCGGAGACTAAACCTCTTTCGGTAATCAACTCGACGTTTGTCAGCAAACAAAACTGGAGTTTGACAAGGGGGGGGGAACTGAGCAGCGAGATCCCTCACGATTGAAACTGCGGCGACTAAACCCCTTTCGGTCAGGACACCGCAGGAAGCCAACTCTCGAGCGGGAGCGAGCTCTCAAGTCTCTCGCGGATACGCGGGCGAAGCTCTCAGACCATTGTCTCCACCATTGGATCACTTTCATCTCTCTCTCCTTTCGACCTCACGGAGGGACCATCGACTCACTCCAGTCCAATTCTTCCATGTCCTCATCGCCCCCAGTCCAGTCGATCTCGCACAAACATGCGCCAAACCCTCCGCCGGTCCTGTGCTGCGTGTGCAAAGTCTAAACACAGCTGCGACCTCCGCACGCCGCGGTGCTCCCGCTGCATCAAGCGTAAGGTCCTGTGCGCCTACGCCAACGAACCCCTGACGGCTGCTCCGGCTGCTTCCGGGTCCGCACCGGGGGGTAGCGCAACATCGTCGCCGGCGTCCGGTGCTTTGACCAACTATCGCTTTGGATCTCTTGATCCCTTTGATTCTTACCCTCAGACTAGACTGCCGCGGGAGCAAGTTCAACGTCTTATTCACAGCTGTATGCCTATTACGACTAAACCCGTCGATCCACGTTTAACTCATTAACCCATGTAGTTCTCCACAAGATTGCGTTCGAATACTACCCTCTAGATCTGAACGCGACGTCAAATCCATTCCTCGTGTCTTGGTGGCCTTTAGCACTCGGCGATCCGGCTCTATTTCACGTCTCATTACAAACAGCATGTCTCGACGAAGAATTGCTAGCCCAAAAAGGGTTTCAGTCTTCAGAGATCCTGATGGCGGATTCAGTTGCTCTACTTCGCCGGAAGGTTCAAGACGACTCAATGGCTATCCAGGATGGAACCATGAATTCAGTTATCACTTTAGCAGCTATCGAGGTGAGCTTTGGCTTGTCCATGCCCGCCGGAATGTCAAGAGGACTCAAAGCTGTCGCATGCTTACTAACTCTCTTTAATCAACAGTTTGGCAAAGGAAATATCCAAGTTAGCAAAATGCACATTGATGGAGTGAAAAAACTTGTCAATATGCGAGGAGGCATCAACTCAGTGAGACAAACTAGTCCACTGACCGCAAGAATGGTCAGCTGGTACGTTGAAGAAAATCTTGATGGCACAACATTCACGTACTAACGTTGTCTGGCCTCGAAGGGTATCGATGATTGTCACTGGCTTGCCTCAATTCGAAACGCAGAACGATGTGGGCATTGGCGACGGCGTCCCCACACCTCCTGAATGGCAGATAGATCCAACTGTTTCGGACAGTAATCTATCCCATCTAGGTGATGTCGACATTGAAAACGAGGTCGAAAACGTATTGGTACGGCTTCGAAGTATTTTCCGACGCGCGCAGCAAGTACCGCTACAACCTACAAGACTTCACGACCTTTCATGTTTTGTTATACACCGACTTCTGTTGTCAGCCCCAGAAGCAGTAGAGTCACATTCGGTATCTAGTGAAAGCATCCGACTGGCGACTATACTCTACATATTCATCATCCAGGGCCCGACGTATTACTCGCACGCTGTCATATTCAACACGATTGTCAATCGGCTTATGGAAAGTCTGGAAGACCTTGTTCCATACGCTCACTCCAGCAACAATCTCTTCATTTGGCTTCTGACTGTAGGCATGGTTGCCTCGCAGGGAACCCAGCACTATCCCTGGTTGACTGGCTTGGCAAGAGATGCTGTGGCATTGACCCAAGTAAAAAGCTGGGTCAGTGTGTTCGCCTGTCTGAGAAGCGTTCTCTGGCTGGACACAGTCCACGGCGAGGACGTCTTCCGACCCCATTGGGAGACTATCTTCGGCTATTTGAATTGAAAGAAAATCCATATGCCTGATTGAGTCTCGACAAAATGTTGCAGGACGAAGTGAATATGATACAGGCAGACGAAGCCTTCATGTTCACTTCTAAGCATGTCTCTTGACTTGAAGGCAGTGGGCTTCGCAATCAATTGCATCAACTGCGGAGAGTCGCGCTTGGCTATGTCCCGCGTGGCCATTGCATGCTGTTTGGACCGTGGTGATAAACAGCATCCAACTTGTACGAAATCAATCAGGAGCATATTTCTTGAGTTCACTGCCAATTCTTCAGTGTCTCATGAGACAAGTCGCTCACTGCATACGCATCCAGAAGTTCAAAATGCCTTCTTCTCGCTGTTCATTTGAGAAATGAGACATTAACCGATTCTACCCTGCTAAAGCGATCATTCTGGCTGGCTGATCTCTCCTTGGCGTGTTGGACCCAGTTGGATCATGCCGTCTGCACTGGTAAGGGGCGGCGGTTGGCCGCATACAAGCGACCTCGAATCGAATCTCTCGTTTCTATTGGCCAACAAGAAGACTCAAAAGGGCGTTGGGCAGTCCAGCCGCATTCCCCCCTCATCGAAATCTTGCCGCCACAGTTGGCAGCACCTTCTTGCCATTCTCACATCATTTCTGAATCAGTGAATCAGACAAAATGGGTTTGAGTCTGAAAAAGAAGTTGAAGGACTTCATCCGTGGTCCAAAGAAGGATGACGCCTCCAAAGAACCACTTCGTGCCCACCCGAGTTCGCTGCAGCAGGCGGGCGCGCTGGCGGAGAAGGCACCCAGCTCCTGCACGACCGATTCGTCGGGAACACCACAGTTGATTTCAGCCACCGAACCATTAAATACGCTCCAAGAAGATACAATAGACGAGCCGGCCGCGAAGTCAGCGCCTTCAACAAGCAATGAAGGATCCATTCGGCAGTTGTGGGACGTGGCATATCAAAACCTGCGAAATCAAGAAGAGAGCCTCGTCCAAGAGTTCGAGAACCAGATATGCGGCAACATGGCCGCTGGCCTTGGTGTCGGTGTACGTTCACATGCCGGAACGAAAGACTGGTTGGCAACGATCCTCAAGCACAAGATGGATCAAGTCAACCGGGAGTCTTGGAAGTTGAAATTTGGCAGCTCCGAGGTGGAAGTCCAGGATGTTGTAAAGCCCGTCCTAGCTGTGGTCGACTGGGCCAATGACTTCGTGGCCAAAGCTCTAGTCTCAAATCCATACGCTTCAATTGCCTGGAGTGGTGTGAGCTTGTTACTACCGGTAAGCTGCTGTCTTTCACATTCGCTACCTGGTCTGGGAGACTGACGTATCTTGGATGATCTGCACAGCTGCTTCTAAATCCCTTGGATCAAGCCGCCGCTCTGGCCAAGGGGCTTGAGCATATATCGTCCCTCATAGTACGAAGCTCTATGTGGGAGGATCTCTATGTCCGGCGTTACGAGTCTAAGACCAGCGAGGCTTCGTCGGAGCCGCATGCTGCTTACAGACTCATCTTGGAAAAGCTGTATAGAGAAATTCTCAAGTTTCAAATTGTTTGCTATCGCTACCACAATCATAAGACTGCCTCTCGCATGGCGCTTGATTCTGTGAAGCATCACGACTGGGAAGAGCTGCTCGAACAGATCAAATATCACGAGACTGAATTCGACAAAGTAAGCAATCATGTGCGGGACCAGACATATGCGGACGAATGGGAATACGCAGAGGCGCGGCATCAACAAGCCATGAACCATTGGGAAAGGATTGGTACAGATGTTTCCGGTCTGAGAAGAAGGATTGATGAAATCCAGAACGATAAGAAGCGCAAAGAATTGCTCAACTGGCTTTGTACCGTTGACCCTTCTGTGCAGTACAATGCCGCGCGTAGTAAACACCGCAGTGGCACTTGCGAATGGCTAATTCAAGATGACGAAGATTTCAAGACGTGGGAAATAGCTCCAAAGTCTTTCTTGTGGCTCAACGGCAAAGGTATGACACGCAATAGTCGTGTGATGGATGTAATCTTTTCTACACCGCTGACAACATCTAGCTGGCTCCGGCAAATCGATTCTGAGCTCATCGGTCATCAAACACTTGAAAGAAAAGTCGGAAGAGAATCCCCAAGTTGCTCTTGCGTACTATTTCTTCAGCTTTGGGAACCTGGAGCAACAAAAGGTAAATGTTATGTTATCTTCGCTTATTGGCCAACTTTGCGCGAGCCGTCCCGATACGCCACAGCCGATCGAAGAATTCGGAAGTTTCATCATCAAAAGAGAGCGTCCAGATACGGAGACACTTGAGAATGCACTTAGAGCTGCCGTTCGTGGATTTTCAGCGGCATACATTGTTGTAGACGCTCTCGATGAGTGCCCGATTCTTGATGGGGAGCGAATGAGGCTTATGGACTGCCTCAGTAATATCATTTCCAAAATGCCGAATAATCTCCATATCTTCTGTACGAGCAGGGCCGAGCCGGACATTCGTACTAAGTTCGAAGAGATGCCGTCTTTGCCAACAAAAAACACCATCAGTCTCATGAAAAATCAGGCGGGCTTAGATAGTGATCTAAGTCTGTACATCGACGCCACCTTAGCTACTGGAACCTACAAACTTTGGCCTCCCGAGATCAAGACCGAAGCCAAGGAATCATTACTCGCGAAAGCGGATGGAATGTAGGTGTGAACTGGAGTGAACTACTCGAGCTCATGGCGAAAGACTGCAACTAACACGTGTCTAGGTTTCAATACCTTGTCAGCCAGTTTGAAGTCCTCCAAAAGTTCAATTCGAGAGAGAAAATACTCTCAGAACTTCGGAATTTGCCATCAGGACTTGATGCAACATATGACAGGCTGCTTCTCGACCTGGACCGCGCTTTTCAACCCCAGATCCTAGACTCGCTGAAGTGGCTAGCTTTTTCGAGTAGGCCTTTGAGTCTCGCTGAACTTGCCGAAGTATTCATTTTCTGTCCGGGGGCTGTGACTGACCTGAAAGAGAAGCGGCTGTTTGCCCCAGAAGGAGTTCTGATATATTTCTCAAGCCTTGTGACTACCGAGGAAAAACGAGAATCGATACGTGGCAAAGTCCAAAGCATCACATATGTTCGCCTCGCTCATTTTACAGTCAAGGAGTATCTGATATCTAATCGCATCGAACAAAGCCCTGCAAAGCAATTCTGGTTTACGGAGATGGATGCTCATCTGCACATCGCTCATTGCTGCCTGTCTTATCACGTCAGCCAAAGTGCCGAGGCCAAGGAGTCTGATGATGAGCTATTCTTGAAAAGCTACGCAATCCAGAATTGGGTTTGGCACTTAGACCTAGTTCCGCGCGATGAATGGTCGTCCGAGGTTGTCCGGCTCGCTGAGTGCGCCCTCTCTATCCGCAGTAACAGCTTGGAACTGCTGGTTTGGTATGGGAAACTATTTGGGAATGGTGAGATGGCACATCTGTTCACCAATGAGCAACTGCGCAACATGCAGCAGCGGCCGTACTGCTACACTGCCGGGCTCGGCTCTCTGTATCTCACGAAACTCCTGCTTTGTGAAGGTTCGAGAGCCAGCATGTACTTGGTTCAGGAGGATCTCAACTTGACTCTCGGAGTGGCAGCCCGGGGAGGGTATCTTGAGATTGTCCAATTTGTCCTCGACCGATGCGCTGATGGCAAGGCACGAGCGGCAATTACTCTTGGAGCGCTCCAGGCTGCGGCATACGGTGGACATTTGGCTATCATAAGCCTCTTACTGGACAATGGCGCAGATATCGATGCGCATGATCACGTATTCGGGTCGGCTTTGAAGGCCGCAGCCATGAGCAATAAGCCAACAGCATTGCAATTACTCGTGAGCCGCGGGGCTGACGTCCGCAAGGCAGGATGTCTTTTGTCATGCTTGATATCGAGTTACAATAAGAAGAATAACGTCACGGAAAACATTGAAGTTTTGCAGCTTCTTATCGACAGCGGCGCTGACATCAACAGCAAGTGTACAACACATGGAAGCGCTTTGAATCAGGCAATCATAGCGTGGCTAAGTCAGGAAACGCGCAGCTTTTTTGACTTTGTCGTAGGGCGCGACGCCGATATCACATTGGACGACGGGCGATATGGCACCCCGCTCCAAGCCGCATGCCTCACTACCAGCGCACGGGCATACTCTGATAGCCTGTCGCGGAGCATTGTTGCAGTCGAGACTCTTCTGGAGATGGGGGCCGACGTGAATGCACAGGGTGGAAGATGGGGAAACGCATTACAAGTGGCATGTCGTGAACATCATCATCCTACTGGTGTGATAAGTCTTCTTCTTGACAGAGGCGCGGAAATCAACAATCGGGGAGGCCGCTATGAAACAGCATTACACGCCGCCTGCTCGAAAGCGACCTTGGGCTCAGAGGTGGTTGACTTCTTGCTTGATAAGGGTGCCGACATTACGATAGAGGGAGGGAAGTTTGGAAGCGTCCTGCAGGCAGCATGTTCCCAAGACCTACTGGGATACTCTCTAAGTAATGTGCAAAGATTGGTCGAACAGGGAGCCGATATTAATGCTATCGGTGGCAGATTCGGAAGTGCGCTGCAAGCGGCAGCTTCACTGGAAGGCTCAACCACTAACGGGCGCGGCCGTGAGGATATAGAAACCTACTTGCTCAGCAAAGGCGCAGAAGTCAACATACAGGGAGGGATTTACGGCACTGCACTCCAAGCCGCTTGTGACCGAAGCAAAATGAAAACAATTCGCTCACTACTTTCCCGTGGTGCCGAGGTAAATTTTGAGGGCGGAATATACGGAACTGCACTTCAGGCGGCTTGCCAGCTTCAATATTGGAAAAAGGACTCTTACGACATGGCGTGCCTACTGATAGAACATGGAGCCAATGTACATGTTCAAGGCGGCCTTTACGGGAGTGCCTGGCATTCTGCGGCTACAATCCCTTGGTGGAATGATGAAAACAACGAGACGTTGGAGCTGCTCCTCAACCATGGGATCGACATTGACAGCATAGGTCAACCACATGGTACTGCTCTGCAGGCTGCCCTTGAGATCTTGCAGAATCACCGCAGCATCGTCTCCAAGCTCCGCTTTCTCCTCGACCGCGGCGCTAATGTCAATTTAGGAGCCGGCCAATATGGATTCCCGTTACAGTCAGCGTGTGTAGCGCCTAGCAGTTATGTACCGGAGGTGAACATCTGCGGCCTCGTTTACCTCCTCAAGAACTGCCCCGAAATCAATGTCGACATGACAGGAGGACTGTTTGGCACGGCTTTACAGGCAGCAACATCCCAAGGCAAGACAGAAGGCGTTGAGCTACTACTCCAGAAGGGCGCCGACACCAACATTCGTGGCGGAAAGTACAGAAGCGCACTCAATGCGGCCATCTTCAAAGGGTACTGGGATCTGGTCGAGATACTGCTGGGTGCCGGAGCCAAGCCAGATTGTCATCAATTTTCCGAACCCGACGAGGAATGGCTAGAAAGTATTGAAAGTGAACACGGGAAGGGCGCCGTGGATCGTTACAGGAAGGTTTGGGAGATAAAGACCCTGGAATTGAGTAAAGGCAAGGCGGGAAAAGGGCAGAATGATTCGCCATCTTCGTTCTGATTAGGATCATGTACTACCACAGATAAGGTACTGAAATGGGTGTGTTGGCTATTACATTTTAAGTCAAACCCCCCACTTCCTGGCACCCCCCTGTTTCTGGCACCCACAAAAACGATGGGATCACAACCCAACCTCCTCATTACTATTAACTATTGATCCTCAACCACACCCACTACAATACAACTGCCAGCCTCACTAGGGCATTCAGAGTCGCTGGATTCAGCCGTAATAACCTCCTTTTCACCCGCTTCGATTTGAGCCCGATGGATATCCCTGATGTTCGCAAACTTCGTGTTGGGATCGATCTGAACAGTCTTCCTCTTCCTAACTGCAGCGTTGGTAACTTGAGGCCTCAGGTGAGCCAGCTGCTGCTGGGCAGCTGCCAGTTGCCAGGCCTGCTCTGTGAAGCCTTTTTCACCTTCCTGAACAGCAGCCGTTGAGTGCTGGTATCATTGTCGAGTTGGGTGTATGTGCAGTTGACCGCTGAGCTCTGCCAGCTTCCTGGGTGTCGACCAGACCACTGCAGAGAAGCAGAATCCCATGGCTCAACAGGGGTAGTTTGTTGACCATTATGGCATCTTTTTGCCCCGACTGGTTGGTTTGGGTGTGGTGGGCTTAGCAGAAGGCTCAGGTAATACCATAGGGTTCATCAGGGCTTAACCATCGCTACAGGGTGTAGACCAGTCCACTTCCAACCACTTCTGATGTTCGAGACTGATAGACCAGCAAGTCGAGCCTTCTGGTAACAGTCCAGGAAGTTCCTTTTACCTATAATGGTAGAGTCGTTCCATTGAGACAAGTAACCGAGCTCCTTCCGATAGGCTGACTTAACAGGGCTGAAGACAGACTGGTCAAGTGGCTGGAGGACATGAGAGGAGTGTGGTGGTAAGAACAGTAAATGGATATTGTTAATATAGCAATTCCACATGAAGTCTGTCGTCGTATGACTCCCATGCCCATCCACAATCAACAGTCGAGCCTCGCCCTCAGCCTCGGGCATAGTCTGTGGGATAAACACCTTCTCTAACCATTCAATGGCAGTTAAGTCTGTAGTCCAGCCATTATCTGTTGCTGTAAACTCCACCCATCGTATGGAACCAGATGTAATGGAAACCACTGTTGTTGGACCGTCTTCCCTTGAAAATGATAAGAGGACGAAGTGCCCTACCCAAGGCTGAGATACACTCAATGATAGAGACCCATGCCCTCGACCCAGGTTGTTTCTTGCGAACAGACGTCGTCTCAGCCATGCCCAGCACTAACCCATTAGCTCCTGACCCTCGAGGATGCCAGTCTCATCCATATTATATCTGTTGGCTGGTTTGATGTCCTTGATCTCAGGGATAGCAAGGAACTTAAACCAGTTCCTAATGACCTCAGTAGATGCCCCATTAACGCGTCTAGAATCGATGGAACGACTTCTCTGAACCTTAATGATAGGGTTCCTTCTCACGAAGGCATAGATCCAGCCTTTTCTAATGGTTTGGTATCCCCAGCAGCAGCCAGAACTCGCTCTGCGAATTCCTTCACCTGTTGGTGCGTTGGTGCGAGGCCCAGCGAAGCCTGAATGCGAACCCATTGTGCCAGCTTACTCTCCTGGTCAGGAGACAGCCTCTGCCAGTCAGAAAAGCCACTTTCCTAGTCTGACCACCTTGGAGACGTAGTTGGAGGGTTGATCGTGGTATCCCATACTCAATGAGGCTCTCTTTTGACTCTTGCCGTTTGAGATGTCCTCGAGCCTGACGAAGCTGATCTTCGGTATATTGAGGCATTAGATATAGAAGAAGGTATGTGCAAAAAATGAGCCCATTTGGACTCGAATTGAAAATGTTGTGATAAAAGGAGGTTGGGGGTGGGCATTGCGTTGTGGTGGATTTTCGCGTTTTTGTGGGTGCCAGAAACAGGGGGGTGCCGGGAAGTGGGGGGTTTGACTTACTGCAATATCGCTCAAGCGAAAAAAACCATTCATTAGACTCAATTGCAAGCTGCTGGATTGAAAGTGAACCATCACGACCTTGGACAACTGGGCCAACTAAGACACTATATATATGTGGTTCGCCGGCATGGCAACATAGATCCAGTTCAGTCATTTCTGACCTTTCATGATGATTACCTGAGAGAATTTGAAACTGGTCTATTTCATCTTGAGAATAACACCCAGACCAACGGGAATGGCGAATTGGTTCATATGAAACTTTCAACACAGAGAACGTAGCTCTTGGATACATGTACGCAAGACTCAACTTCAAAGTCAAACAAAAGATTATGTGGGGGAAGCCATGAATCCCTCTAGAGCAGAACGTGGACTGTCTCCGGGCTTTGAGGAATGAAGCAATTAAAGGAACTCACTCATTCTGGCTTTGGAGAATCGGCCTAGCCACAAAATACATGCAATCTGTTCTGGCCTGTACTTAGTAGTATTTATCTAAAGGGAGAGTTCCTTCATTTCCTCGTACAGAACGGTAACAGGCTTGTTCAAGCCAACTGCCCTTGGATTCTGCCGTCCCATACCGCTTTCACGTAAGAAAGGAGAGCATGCGATGTTCACTTTTCACCCGACAGTCCACCCTCCCGCAACACAATGTCAACAAAACAACGCATACTTACCAAATCATGATTACGTTGCCGAATTCATATAACAGCATCGATGGATATGCGAAAGATCTCATTGAATTCATTGGCACGTCCCTAGTCCGCCAGATTACCGGTGACATCCACGTCAACGACTCACTCATCCACAATGCCTGGGACGCCTTACCCACCGACTGGACATCGTGGTGGATGTTGTTTTCAGATCATCGCATAGCCCAGCAAGACTTGATCGACAGCATTGAAGAGTCAGAACTCTCATTACCAGCAAATGACGAAGCAGATGAAAGCCAACGGCATCGACCCTTACCAAATCGGCCAGAGTCGCTGTCTAAGTGGCTCAAGAGCATCCAGTCACTCGCCCTTCCACGAAACCAACGGCCCGGCAAGACCATCACGCTACCAGAGATCCTAATAAGTCGCATGAAAACCAAAAAGATCGCAGAAGTCTCCACCGCCGCCGCATACATCCACAACGTCTGCCAAACCAACAACATGACCCACATCATCGACATGGGCTCAGGCCAAGGCTACCTCTCCGTCGCACTAGCCTACCTATTCCCAGAGCTCCACGTACTAGCAATCGACGGCAGCGAGTCCCAAATCGCAGCTTCAAAAGCATGTGCGGCCAGTCTCGGTATTCCCGAAAGCAGAATCCAGCATATGCAGCGCTACATCGACGGCACGCCACCTTTGGCTGATGAGATAGCTGCCTGGGCTGGAGAGGAGCGGTGCATGCTCGTCGGCCTCCATGCGTGCGGGAATTTGTCTGAGCATATGCTGCGATACTTCACCACCGTACCGTTCATTGTGTGTCTGGGTGCCGTCGGATGCTGCTATAACCACATCGTCCCGCGTTCCGCCGCTTGTCCTGAGGGATTCCCTATCAGTTCAAAGATGCGAGAGGAAAACGTCACGCTGAGTGCTACGGCGCTTATGACGGGCTGCCAGGCGCCGAATAACTGGGAAAGGGCAGATCCGAGCAAAGAAGAATCGGTGTACTCCAAACGACGCTTCTACCGAGCCTTATTGGAGAAGATTTTCCACGATAAAGGGATAGAGCTCGACAAGGAGGATAGACCGGTGTGGGGTGTGCGGAAGGGAGACATGGCTAGCTTTAACGCGTTCGCACGCAGAGCAATGGGATGCCTGAACGTTGACAAGAGCAAAATTAGCGATGCTGATCTGTCGGATTACGAGGAAAGGTATCGGGGGTATGAGGGTAAGGTGGCAATCCTCTGGACGCTCAGTGTGCTGTGCTGCAAGGTTGTCGAGAGCGTGATTGCTTTAGATCGCTACTTGTTCCTGACGGAGAACGGGGGGCAGAACGTTGATGTCGTGCCGATCTTTGATTATAGAATATCACCGCGGAATCTGATGCTCGTGGCTGATAAGACATAGATTCATATTCAACCAGTAACTAGTCTAAGGTGAATCATGCAACATGGAGTGTGGCCGGGCATCAGAAATGAAGTAAAACTTTTCAAGCTATGTTTGAGCATCGAGCGACTGTAAATCAGAGAGCAACATCGCGTGTTAGGACTGCTGGTCTCAGGATCGGTCTCATGAATACAATATATTAAAGCCAACTATTAACACAAGAATCCAATACCCAAACCCCCGAGATACAATCTCGAACAGACTTCATTCATTCACCCCTTAGAACATCGCAACGGCAACAAGACCACACAAAGCCGCAACAGCGACCCCGAAAGACGCACGCCCAGCAGACGCAACCTGCACAACAGAAGGCAAAGGCTTCGCAGTCGCAGTAGGCGCCGCACCGGTAGCAGAACCAGAGCAAGCAGTAGGCGTAACAAGCGACCCGTCAGGTCCGAAGGGGCTGTAGCCGAGGCACCCGGCGTACTGCGCAGCGCAGGTGGACATGTTGGCGCCGGGCGCGCTGCGGCACTTGTTGTAGGCGTCGTTGCAGCCCGCGACGCAGGCGGCGCCGGTGGTCGCGGGGGGGACGACGCCGGTCGCGATGGGGGGGACGGCAGAGTTGGTGCCGGGGGGAACGATGCCTGTGGCGATGGGAGGGACGGCGGCGGTGCCGGAGCAAGCGGTGGGGGTCACGAGGGAGCCGTCGGGGCCGAAGGGGCTATATCCGAGGCAGCCGGCGTACTCGGCGGCGCAAGTGGCGCGGTTGGCGTCGGGAGCGCCGCGGCACTTGTCGTAGGCGGCAGCGCAGGTGGCCGGGCAGTCGGGGTTCGGGGCGACGCCGGTAGGCATGGGGCCGGTGTGGGTGATGGTGCAGGGGCAGTCGGTGATGGTGAAGGTGGTGGGCTCCTTGATGGTGTAGGTGTGCTTGCCGTGGTAGATGATGGTGGGCTCGGGGCAGTAGGTGGTGATGGCGGTGACGACCTGGGTGTAGGTGCCGTTGGTGAGGAGGGCGGCGACCGGGGCGGCGACGACGGGGGCGTCGGCCACGGGGGAGCCGGAGGTGAGCTGGGCGGCGCTGATGATCAGGCCGGCCAGGAGGGGAGCCACGTGAGAAGACATGTTGTTGGGGTTTGGGTGGTGAAGACCGTGTGGTGTAAAAGAGTGTGGTATGACTTGATGTCAAAGTTGTGAATGAGTGTGTGGGTTGAGATGGAAAGAAAGTTGAGTCTGTAGGAGAACTCTGATCATGATTTATAGGACATCGAGTTGAAGCCAAGACGGTGAATTAAACGTAAACATTTCAGCTAGCGTTGATGGCCAAGGGGTAGTTTGTTGGTAAAACTCGGATCACATCCGGTCTGGATGACATTTTACATTCCGGTGCTGTTGTGTTTGTCGTGCCTCGTTCTCCAGCAAGAATTCACTTAGTCGCGTCTCGTATTCTCTTCCCCAAGAACTTCGCTCCTAGTCCCTCGTATCTTTGCTAGCGTTCTACCCGTCATGCTTGCCGACCGACTAACGCTCTTCTGCGTTCTCTCATCCTGCCGCGCCTATTTTAATCTTAAAACGCCAAAGTCTTAGCCATTTTCCTGGGGAAAAGGTAAGGAAAGGGGGTGAGTGTCGGCGCCACGATGGTGGAATGTACGCCATCTCGGCTACGGCCATCAAATCATCAACGTCAATCGTGCGTCAATCGGACTTTGGTCTCACCCCAGAGTTCATCTCGGGCCGGAATGTTTTATCCATACTAACGAGTCACCGTCCGTGTCTCTTGACACTTTTTATTTGGCATGGCCCCCCGCTTGAATGTCACAGGTTGTGGTCAGGAGTCAAGGGAGGACCTTTGATACGAGATTTATCTAGTAGCCTCCTCATACGATGGTGACGGACCAACTGGCTCGGAATGGACTCCGACAGAGAACAAACTTAAAGAGAATTTCCTGTTCTCACGTTGGTAAAAGTGTTTGGGTGATCAATTGCCTCAAACCATCTACCTTACATCGAGTCTTTACCTGATGACAATCTTCTCCGGAACTTGGCTAAGATTGAGTGTTCCTCTCAACAAGCAAGCGTACAGACGACAAGGGCAAACGCAGACTGGACAGCGCCCATCCTACCATTAGTAGTCATGTGGCACGCGATACCAACAATAATGGTAGTGAGTTCATGTTGTCACTCGATTCAAGTAAGATTACTTAGCTGAGAATCTGTCCCAGCTTCAGTCATACTTCAGACCCAGGATGCAGAGAAATCCAGTCATCACCCATCACCTTGGAGCTTCCTCAAGGTGCTGCCGCTAACCTCTGAGACAATGACATTAATGTGTGACAATCGTCCAAATTATGTACACCACCATAATCTCCACTGTGTGCCCGACTCACTGCACTATTCTCCTGGTCGAGGCACCACTGCTGACCTTGGAACCACCTCGACACCCAGATCGCTCAGCGGGCGGTCCTAAGCGCAGAACCTACAGAGCTTTCGCCCCAAGAGACCACGTCTTAGTCGGAGTCGGCATGTCCGAGCCGACCGCTTACTTCCTCTCCCTGACGTGCACCTTCATCTTCATATCGTGCCTCGGCCTAGCCTCCATACCAACCATCTGGAAAGCCAAATCGCCCACCTTGTGATCGATATCCATATAATCGACCCTCTGCGTAGTCCCATTCACAATCGTCTCGAAGTCGAACCACCGCACCGTGAGCAACAACATGATGCGCAGCTCATCCATGGCCAAATCCTGCGCAATACACGCCCTGGGCCCGCGCTCAAAAGGCCGCCACGCGAAGCGGTGCATATCCTTGGCGTCCTCGCCCAGGAACCGATCGGGTCGGAAACTCTTGCTGTCCTCGCCCCAGACTTTGGGGTCCATGTGCGTCGAGTGGGCGCAGGGGATGACCATGAGGTTCTTGACGGGCCAGCGGCGGCCGTTCCACTCGAGGTGCGTCGTTCCGGGCGGGGCCTGGCGGATGGTGAAGCCGATAGGGAAAAAGCGGAGCGTCTCCTTGATGACGGCGTTGGTGAAGTCCATGTCGTTTGTCTTTTGCGGGTTCGCGATGAGCATCTCGACGGTGGTGTCGAGGTCCGGGGAGAAGTGCTCGTCGTGCTCGGCGCGGAGGCGGGCGACAACGTCTGGGTAGAGGGAGAGGAACATTGTGACCCAGGTGAAGGTGTCGGTGGTGGTGCCGTGACCTCCGAGGAGGAGGGCCTTGAGGCTGGTTTGGTCGTTAGCGAGGATCGACATGCGACGCGTGAGAAGGGATTAACTTACTTGGTGACAGCGGTGTCGATGAACTCGTCGTCGAGACCCATGCCCGGTCCGCTCTGGATTCTGTCGAGGACGATGCGATCCAAGACACTCTTGACCTGTCGTCGCGAAGGCAACTCCTTCTCGTCCTGCAGGATGCGCAACCTCTCCTTCATCTCCTTGGCCAGGGTATCCCTAACGCGATCCTTGAGCGCCTGCAACTTCTGCTGTGCCTTGCGCTTCTTCCACGGGTTACGGGTGCCGATGAAGGTCGTGGCGGGGTTAATCGAGTTTCGCAAATCCTCAAGCAGCGGCGAACCAGATCTCTGGGCCTCGAGAGAGACACCGAACACAATCTTGCCGACAACGTCGAAGATGGTCTTGGCCGACTCCTCCTCCATGTTGAACGACTCGCCCTTGGCAGCAAACGCGCGAAGGCGCTCGTGGAAGATGAGGACCTGCTCGGCAATCATGCCGGCCATGGGTTTGACGTAGGTGGGCGTGAAGCCGGAGCCGACCATGCGGTGGTTGTACTTCCAGCGGTCGCCGTTGGAGGCGGCGATGCTGTCCTTGCCGGTGAAGGGACGGAGGAACTGCTCGATGGTGGGGTGCTTGGGGTAGGGGTTCGTGGTGAGGACGAGCTGGGCGGCGTCCGGGTCGGTGATGATGACCTGGGACTCGACAAAGGGCCACATGTCGACGTAGAAGATTCCGCCGAGGTTGTACTTTTGCGCCATGATGGTGTAGATGTGCTGGGGGTGGGTGAAGAGCGGGAGCGTGGCTGCCAGCTCTTCCCAGATGATTGTGTGCGCCCAGATCCATGAGTGCTTTGGCGGTTGAGGCTATCGTGACAAGACACCAAAAGAGTCAGCATTGTGACTTTCGTGAGCTGCATGCTTTGCGCCTATCTACTCTGGTCCGCATGCAGAACGTGGCGGAGTGAGTTGAGAATGAAGTTCTTACCAATCCTCTGAATCTGGTTCTCATGTACACGGCCTTGAAAGCCCAGTACACGGCCGTGGCGAGAGCCACGCTGGCCGCGATCAGCCAGTTGGAAACGCCAAACATCGTGAGCCTCAAAGCTTGGGGGTATCGCCAAGCTATTTCCCGGGAAGATGACGAAAGGGAGGGGAAGAAAACAAAACGAAAAAGGGACGAAAGAACTCTTGCTGCCCACACGCAGTACAAAAGAAGAGAAAAAAGCTACGTAGTGAAGAAGATGGCGGGGTATTAGGGTCAGATTTCATCTACGACCTACCAATCCTAGGCTCTACGTAATGTCACATTCGGGGCAGAATAACCAGAGGAAAAATGCCTCTCTCTCACACTGACTTTTTTTTTCTTCAGCAAGGGGGGGTCTGTAAGTTTGGTCCTTTCGATGTGATCGTCCTCCCGCCAGTGCGTCTTACTGGGGGGGAGGGGGTGTGCGATGCGTGAAGATGGTTGCATCCTTTGTTGAACGGTGGGGTCGAGAGGATCAGATTAGATGATCTGATAAGATGATTGAAAGAGATCAGTGATCGCGGATTGGATGAATTCAGAACGGCCGACAAGGGTGGGAAGGGGAGGGCGTGAGATGAGTAAAAAAGGCCACGCAGGAACTACAGGAAGTTCCCGGAATTGGTTCCATGTCGTGATGAACGAGGGGGCGTGGATGGTGGTCAGAAACGCCGTCGGCCCCAGTTTCAATGGCTTCACGTTGTTTAGCGCGGGTTTGCAAGCTTTTCGCGGCGGACTCGACCAGTCAACGTGCGGAGGATTCAGTTTTGTTTTGTCAACGGTCCGGTCCGCTCATAGGCACTCAGATTCGGTGACGATGCGGCGTTGCTTCGTCTCTTCATACAGCCACCGAAGATTTCCAGGTGCGTGTGATGATATGCACATGTCGAGTGCGCTGGAACATATTTCTTCATCAACTCTTACGGTTGCTGGATTTTGCACTTCCGCGGCCAGTTAATGATGTTGACGCTGGCTGAATGGTACGTTGTATCCATTATGTTTTTGCGTGCAGAGAGCTAGGCGGAATGTGGGTGGGAGTCCGCCGATGGGTGGCCGATGACCGAGGAACCTTCAAGGATTCGAAAAAGGTTCGAACGTGAGATGGTGCCTTTAGTTTTTATCAACCTCCTTGAAGTATCATGGGCAGGCTTCTTCCTGGCCTCACGGAGGGAGCTATTCAAATCCGACCGCAACTGAGACTCAAGAGTGCTGAAGCTTCAATGCCTGGCAGTGAAGCTAGGTGCCAGACTCAATGACGGGGAATTCTGAGAACCTCACTCTCGGAGACAATCCACCACACAATCCACATCCCGCCGGTGGGATAGGTCCACAGGGCCTTGGCTGGGCTGCCGAATTGCGTCTTCTCCATCGAGACGGGGAGTCAGCGGGGAGTCAATACGAGCTTCAAAGCCAATGCATGCTGCAGTTGAGTAGTTGTACCACTTTCTGCACGTAGCAATTCAAGATTTTTCATACAAAGTAAGTAGTCCAATAGCGGTGTCTTCCCGAGACTGTAGACTGTGGTCTCACGGTTCTGGCTGCTTGCAGCATGAACTTTGGGCGATCCACAGAGGCGCAAAAGCGAATGTGTACTCGGTGCGCGAGGAGGGGCTAAGGTGGGGGAGAAGAAGGAGAGAAAAAATACCACTTCAGATGAACCCCTGCTTCTTCAGCAGATGCTAAGCTTTCTTGGACAGCGGCACGGCGGCTACGATCTTGACAGCGCCAACAAAGATGAGCGCTTCCAGTGTTGGAACAGGCTGGCGCATGTGAATACTGCGTTGATAAATAAGTAGGTACCTTGCTTCATGCATTAGTAACTGACGGCAAAATGTCAGCCATCTACCGTGGAACCCAGTTACATAAGGCACACACTTATGTAATCTCAACGCTCCATTTGAAATTGAAAGTTTCAACTCTTAAGCCGCCTGAGCACGCAAAAAACACCTACCTCATCCACTTGATGAGGCAAAAGTTCCGAAACCGAGAATCGAACTCGGGGCTATGCCTAACCTCTCGAGGAGATGAGAGGGCATCATGTTGGCCACTACACCATATCGGATGTTGATGTCTCATTGCTCGAAATTGGTGCTTGAGTATCCTGTGTGCTGAGAGTGGAGC